TATGCCAAAGCAGAACACATTTTGTTCAGTGTTGTTCAGTACTGTTTTATAGTTAAGTCGGCACGTTCCACACTACATGTACATGTATGCTTTTGTGATCACAATTACTTGTGTTACTTTGTTAAATAGTTTCATCTCTATTTAAATCAGGCCATGTTCCATTTTGAACTCTGGCATAATTTTATTAGCCTCCTACCGGTTGTCAAAACAAATAAAGAGCTTTAACTTAGGTGTGTTTACACATGTATACATACATGTACTGTACAGTGTAAGACCAGGACCATTTCATTTAAACTCAACTCTCCTGATCCTTTTAGGAAAGGCTAATTTCCATGCATGTGTGTTAATTTAGAGCCTACTATACATGTGCATGTGCTGCACATGCCAGAAATTTTTGTCCTGTGGTTCTTTTTGCTTTTGATATGGGTGTGACATTTGCAGTGTATGTTTGGTTTGCCTTGTTGCCCTAGGGAAAGGCTCCCCCTCCCCTCCCATAAGAGCAGAGTGCATAGGGGGTATTCAGATTAAGTGGACTGTTTCATCTCATGGCCGACTTTCAGTGTTGTAGAAATAATTTGATTCCATTCACTTCGTGGGTCATGATTCTTTTCAGAATCAACTCCCAAATTTCCTCAGGAGATAGCAATCTCCACTAGAAAATATAGGGGTATGTACATGTATCTTTGATGTAATTTCATTAAGAACATGTTATCAGTCGCTTACATATACATGTACATACATTGCAACTGATCTGATCGTTTATCATTTGAAATTTAACCAGTTTTAACTCATGTTATGAGCTTGCCCATCCCGTAAATTGGCACTGCCTGAAATTGTTCTTTGGCACAATATAAAGGAAAATTGACCGTACATCGTAGTCAATTCCATCTAAAAGTCTCTATGATATGCATTGAAAGTCAGCAGTTTTTTTACCATACTGTTACAGACATTTGGGACTGTTGGATACGGTTCCTTTGCTATTAGGTAATTCCAGAAATTAGAGGTTCACAAGTGTGACATTTTCATGCCCCTGTTAGTACATGTATGTGACCTTTGTTATTTGACATGGAAATATCAGCGGAATTGATTTCAAACTATTACTATTTGTTTGGCAGTCACATTGTGCCCTAATCCTCAAAGAACCGAGTTATTTTGTCCCATCTCACTGCCAGGTGGGGACAGATTCAGCCCTCCCACAAAGAACTCGGCTGTACCATGCTTGATTTTTTAAAAACTTGGCTTATGTATACATGTAAAGACACTCCTTATTACAAAATGTGAAGTTTGAAGTCCATCAAATGAACGGTTTTGTTGTTAGTCATTTGGTGTTGAAGGCAACATGTATAGTAAAATCTTGATAAGTCGAAGCCTGTTAAGTCGAAACTCCGTTTACCTCGACGTCTTTCTGTATTCCAGACAAAAGAATAGGCCTTTATGTACAATAAACTATCTGTAACTTGAAACGTCAATACCACTAAAGCAGCTCATCTTGCAGTTTTGGCAGGCCAATTAAATAAAACAACTGAAGAATGATGAATAAAAAGTGACGGAAGAGCGCTTGCCTTCATTATGAGTCATTACTGTCACGCGTACGGCTTTTCTTTGATGAGCCAAGCATGTTCACACGGGCAGCCATTGTCATGTCGACAAGGACTGGGTGGGCATCAACCGCACCCGTAAAGGCCGTGTCCGAAACAGGTATAAGAGCTACGGCTAGGTCTATTGTCTGTGTGTCTCCATATTTTTCCAATGGAGTGAATACCAAGACTTAGCTCTAGACAAAAGATTCGGATGCAGCCTAAATCAGGCATGAATGATGCGCCCTCAAGTGCTTTGTACGTGTATCACGTGACCCAGCACGGAAACCCTGACCGACTGGCCCTTGCGCTGCCTTATGTGGTAACAGCCCGATCAAGCAAAGCAAATGAATGAATTCTCAAGACGTAGACATAGGTACCGGTACATAACTTCATTGGTTTATTGTTTATTAATGTTCTACATAAAAACATGTTTAATGATGATGTTTGAGGAAAACTTGCACAGTAGGGATAGCCTAAAATCCACTTCGTGTTCGACTTAGCTTGCAGGCCAGCTGCCGTAAGCCAGTAAGGTTGCATGTGCACTGAAGTGTGTAACTTTCGATAAACGTCGAATAACTCGAACTTTTCGTCCATTCCCCTGAGCTTTGACTTATCGAGATTTTACTGTACATTCGTACCAGCCAATGGGAGGAGATATCCGGAAAAGCTGTTGAGGGGAGGAGGTGACCCCCAGCTCTTTGAGGGTTAATACAGTTATACATAAAAGTTGTTCTTGTGTGAAATGACAAAACTCTCAACTGTATTTTTTTTGGTCACCCAGTTTGACTTACATATAATGTGGATAGAATAGCCCAGTGGACACTAGTGACATGTGTGCACTTTTCCTGGAGAAACCAAGGGGGGCCACGGTCCACTGAGCACCATAATGAAAGCACACACGTAAACAAAGTGCGGCAGCATTAGCGCAAAGGTCTACTTGTGTTTCCAGTCTATGAAGTTACATATAGGGTAAGGGCTTGTAACTCTGAAACACACCTGACAAGTACCATTTTATTTCACTGAATCACAAACTGCCATGTTTTCCCCTCACATGTTCAGTTTCAGCAGAAATGGCAAGTTCTCAGCAAAGTAAGGGACATTTCCACATGTACAAGAACAAGGCCTTGGGCCTGGATGAGCTGCGAAAGCGGAGGGAAGAAGAAGGTGTTCAGCTCCGCAAGCAGAAGCGTGAAGAGCAGGTACATGTGTGGCTGTGTCAACTACAGCTGAAAATGACACGTGACTCAATGGGCAGAGGCTGTAGCCATTATCAAAGACTCGTGTGTAATTTGAAGCCGCAGCCAATTAATAACAGCATGGCCTGTGTTACAGATCAAGGGTACCTGGTCCGGTGATTTTTCAGGTTGGTCAAGTGACCAAGCTGAAATTAATAGGAAGGACAGCAGGAGAAATCTTACAACCTTTGTTACCAGTGTCCGTGGTGGTAGCATGAATCAGGCAGTGTAAAAACTTAAGTTTTGGTTTGACCAGACCCAGTTCTCCGTAAGAGCAACAAAGAGTAGAAGCAGAAACAGTTAAGTTGTTCCATGAAGATAAGGTTTTCTTGTCTCATCCTTTGTAAAGGAACAACAGCCACATCAGAGTTTTTTAATCCTTTGTTTATGCCACCAGCTTTTCAAGAGGCGAAATGTAGACGTTGTACTTGAGACTGAATCTGCCCTTCAAGACAACATCATCACCACGACACAAGTAAGACACATGTAGCACAGGGGCCATATTCATAGAGCTTCACGACACAGATGTTTACTTAAGCATAAAAAATATGTGCTTAGCCAAGAAAAGGTTTCAAGGCAAAGTGCCTGGCAAAGTTTAATACATGTACATGTACGTGAGGCCAAGTCACTTTTGCTTACACATGATAAATCTGCTGTGCAGGAGTAGCTGCTTAGCAGTGCCATGAAATTTGGCCCAGCTGCTTATGGAGATTTTAAGAACATGCAGTAATCATGCCAAAGATGTAATCAGGTCATCACAAGTCCCTGACCAATCAACCACACATCACCCAGTCTCAGATCGAGTCGCAAACAATCATGTACAGTATGGACTAGTAATTAGGCCGCCAGTGTACATATATTCACCCCTGAGGGACTGTGGTTTACCAGAAGAAAAAGGGCGGTCTTCTCATTGCTCACAGGCCTTAAGGGGAACGAACATGTACATGTAGCTCCATATCTTTTTGCAATACACCTTTGTGAAAATTTAAACTAAGAATGAAACTTTTCAATGTTTCATGATTGGAGGAGGG